AAGCAGCGCCCCCCCTCCTGCCCCCCCAGCCACTTCCACCTCAGCATGGCTCGTGCACTGCACAACACCCGTCACACACCCCAGCAGCCCCGGGGTGCCCGACTTCAGCCACAGATTTTATTGTTTAGTAACGAGCTCACCACACCAGCAAGCCAGGACAGGGGTGGATGGTACATGAATACATATCTGTAGTAGTTACACAGACTGAGATTTGTACAGTTTTTGTACAGAGGAAGAAATAAAATGAATCAAATAACAAAATAGACATTAGCAGTCAAACCTTTTTTTTTTTTATATCATACTAACAAAATCTGATAGCCAAAAAATGACTAAGCTACAAAATTGTAATACATACTGTACGGGTAAAAGGTTATAATCCATTTATACATCTAGTATCGTCTTTAGACTGGTAACTTACATGAGGCCTATAGGATCTTAGTGTATTAATAACTCCCTACAAGATAGTGTTGAGCTGCTGAAGCTGCCGAACAACGGAGCACTGGCATTTTTGTTAAGACTTTTATAGTGTCATTTGCATTGTTTTGTTTTAATGAAACCCTCATGCATCTCTACTGCAAGCCAGAGGAACCGCTGCGGGTAGGCAAGAGCTGTAAAGCCTTGGCTGGCAACTTTGCACCCACCGGTCAGTATGGCACCGGCGCGGTGCTGCCCCTTGCTCCAGCTCTCGGGATGCTGTCGGAGAGATAAAGCTGAGCTGAAATCACCAACCAAGACTGATTCTTCTCCCTTTGGTCTAGAGGGTTAAAGAAGAAATCACTAAACACAGAGCAGTCTCCATTTCAAAGACCTGTTTTCACTGGATAACGTCTCGGCTTTCAGCAGTAAAAGCATCACTAACTGTTGGGGTAACGCAGCTGGTCGTGAGCGCTGGTCTCACAACCGGGGTGCTGGTCCTTCCCTTGGCTCCCTCCTGCTCCCCATCCTGCACCGGTGCTCCGAGTGCATCCTTGCACGTTGCACAGGACTCGGCCCCCGATGCAAAACCAGCATGGCACACACAGGCTGGGAGAGGGACTGGGGAGCACACAGCCCCCCCGTACCATGTACCAGCTCTTGGGATCGAGAGAAGAGCAGGGCTGAAGCCGAAGGGGGAGTGAAGGCACAAAGAGGAACCAGCCCCTGACTGACAACAGGAGATGGGTGCATCAGTGCTCTGATGCCCTTGAAAATCTCCCCCGAAGAACCAAGCCAGTAAGACCAAATATTGTGAAGGACTTTATACACCACCACATAGGCAAAAATAGCACTTCAACTTACAAATAAATAGAGGGGCTGGGGAATCTCCTCCTTGTCCTTTCCAAGTTTGTCCCTAGTTTGGTCTCTTACAACCTCAGAAGGGCAGCCAGAGGCAGGTGTCCTTGGGAAGCAAGGCTGTGCCAATTTTGGAGAGGGAGGACACGGCTGGTGTCCAACCTCCCTCCTGGCCACTTTATACAGGGTTGAGCTGAAACCCAGATGACACATGTGACAGCGTGTCCTGTTGATGCTGTAGCCAGTCCTGTTTGGGGAGCAGCTCCCATGGACCTGCACCCCAAAGGGACCTGGCTTTGTCCTGCTGCCCGTTTTGGTACAGTCCAGCAACACAGAGACCACACAGCCTCCGCAGAAAGCCAAGAAGAGCCATCAGCTCCTGGCCGATCCTTAGGGAACCAGCAGAAGAGAATTTACAGCCAGAGAAGACCTTCAGCACTAACTTTAAACCTGCTCTGACCCATCTGCTGCTGTTCTGCATTGTCACCCGCGCTGACCGGGAAGAGCCAGAGGTCTGAGCTGTTCACAGCGGATGGCCCCTGAGAGGAGACAGGAACCAGAGACTCCTCCAGCCTGAACCACTGCCACTCTGACAACTTTGGATGCGATGAATGGAACCAAATACACGGTCCCCATGACCACTTCTGGGGGATCCTGCTCCATGCAGAGCCAAAGGTTCACCAAGGGAGGTGGAAAATGCAGGGATCTTTCCTCTGTAGATGAAGGCAGCTGGTCACAAGTCACAAGAAGACCTCTTAGGGAAAATAAGTTAAAAACCAGAATGGGCTCTCCCACCTGCAAGTGCCCAGGAAGCTGTGGGCTTGGAGACAGTCAGCACTGCAGGAAGAACTCTGTTACCTCCACTCAAGCAAGCGGGAGCTGCAGACGCAACTTCAGAGACCATGCAGCCAACAGGAGCATTTTGGGAAACACCAGCCCTGAATTCTTAAAAACAGCAGCTCCCAGTGAGGTATTCACTGTCACAGGCTGTAACACTGAACGCTCCCTCTGGGATTTTCCTAAATCGCTTAGGAGATAAACACACCAGTCAGAAGGATTTTGGAGACCACCCCTATGATCCCTTGGGAAAGTCCCAGAGCTAGGCAGAGTTGTGGCACTCTTCCTGGTGATTAGTAAGAGCTGATGAAACACTTCTACAAGGCAGGATGGGATCCTGCTTGAATTATTTCCAGTCGGTTACATCCCAAGCTCTGCCTCCCCTGCCATGCACCAGATTTAAACTGCGTTTTCTGACTTGCTTTACTTCCCAGAAGTCACCTTCCTCTCTCATCCTCCCTTTGAACAGAGGAGGGAGATCACCAATCCTGCATCAAGTGAGCAGGGTGCAGTGTTGTACCCTAGCCCAGATTCAGCAATGCCCTCCTTGTGGCAGAATTGCAGCTGTGAAGCCCAAGTCTTTTCCCAGGTTGCTTCTGGCCGCCCATCCTCCAAGGAACTGGGAGTCTGGCAACTTATTAGGAAAAAGTAACACAACTTTGTAGGAAATCAGGGCAAAAAGCAATGAAGCTGACATGCAGTGATGTTCATCTGCCTGTGGTCTGGCTCAGATCTCCTCTCTCAGTGGTCTCCTCTCTTGTCCTCTTTCACAGATGCCCCATCATAACACAAGTGCTTCTGAAGACTGGAGGAGTCTGGCACTAACTAGGAGAAGCCTGGTAAAATATTGCTGTGACTCTTCCTTGTGGTACTGAACGGTGAATCTGGACTCTCTCACACCTTTAAGAGCATATTGTGCCCTTGCTCCACCCTAATGTCCTCTGGGAGCTGTGGTACAAAGTTAAAGAGAAGAGCAAAGCCTTCAGAAGAAGGAACAAGACCCTTGCCTGGGCCTGCACTGCTGTGTACGGAGACAAGAGCTGTGTGGGCTCCAGTCTTGGATTCCTTCTGCTCCAAACGCTCATACCCAGGTCGTGCACAGAGGATTGCTGTACGCACCAAACACAGACAGCCACTACTGCATGAACCCTCACAGCAGCACCTTAGCCTGCTCCATTCCTGGTAGCAGGGGATGGGCATCATACTGAAGAGCCAAGGATAGCTCTGGAGGACGGCCAGGCAATCCCCGATTAGCTGTTAAATTAAACAGGCAAGGAGGGAACCATCTCCTCAAGGCATCTGTCCCACACTGACTGCAGCCAGCATGGAGGTCTCAGGCCAGCGATGCTGAGATCCAGCCGTCTGTGGAGTCCTGTGCTCAAAAAAGACCCAATGAAACACAGATGAGTGAGGGGGACCAGGCTGGGCAGCCTGGCTGTGGCACAGGGCATCGGTAGGCCTGCTCAGGGATCTCTTTACAGGAAGAAAGGCCAACCACACCTGAGCGAGGTGTGTCTGTCCCCAAACTCAGAGCCACCACAGCTCCTTCCCCAAACAGCAGTGGGTGAGAAACAAAATAAATATCCCTCTGAAATCAGATTATTTCCCACGACACGCTATGATACAAGTACTAAGTGTACTCTACAATGGCGAGATCTTCTACAAGGCGAGGAGGGAAACACGTCCCCACACCCCGTCTTCCTCAGCGTGCCAGTGTGAACAGTCAGCCCAGCAGGTTTCACTCGCTTGTGCAAGTCTTCAAGACACTGGGGTGGGTGGAAGGGAAGGGACAGACCACGTGGGAAGCGTGCAGCCTCTGGGCACACGCTTTGGAGTTGAACACCACAAACAAATCCCTTTGCAGCTCCTGTGGGGTTACTGGGACTCGCTGACACTTCAGCCACCATTCGGGGCAGCTGTCATCCAGATCACATCAGCTGGTGGGACAAGGGCAGCTCAAGCAATACAAATTCCACAGTCAAAACCAATACAAGTAAGAAACCAAACCCAGAGAGATCTTTCCGCTCCCTCCTGGAACAATGGCTGTCTTGGAAAACTGGACTCCAGGATTGTCCTGATTACGTCAGTTAGTGTATTATAAACATTGTCCTGCTTTAAAGTGAAAATAACTGTGTCTGGTCTTTTGAAGGTGCTAAAGTCAGATGTGGTATTGTTTTTCCTGACTGTGCACAGGAGCTGATACTGTCATGAAGTGATCCTCTTCACCTCTTCTCTATCAGAGCTTCTCCTGGAAGAAAAGAGATCTGGTTAGGTAAAATGAGGACAAGCACAGAGGCCTTTTTACAGGAAAGGAAACTGAGGCACGCAGTGGAATGTCACCAGGCCTGCCATGTCCTGACCTACTGCTCTACCCAGTAAGTCACAGTGTCTCTTCCTCAGGCTGGCCATCCTGCTTATGAGGAGATGCAGTCTGAGGCTACAGGTCTTGCCCTACATCATGACAACAGTGGGAGACCAGGACAGCATGTCCCACAAATGCCACCCACATGACGGGGACAGTAAAGATCTGAGACCAAGCAGGTTCTAGCTGGGGCTGCCAGGAGAAGAGTCATACAGGCACTGGCCCAGGAGAGAAAACTCCTTTCCCACTGCTTCTCCCAGAGCAAGCACCCATCGCACCTCAGTGTGCATCTCACTGGCACCTTCCTGATGGCTCCAGGTTTTAATGGTAAGGTGACGTTCCCACCATGCTTGGGAACTAGAGTTGTGGAAAGCCCCTTGCTTTTGCTGTGGGAATGACACAGTCAAGCTTTGCTGGCAGAACTGCCTCCATCCAAGAGCTGCCCCCAGCACAGCAGGCAAGAAACCACATGAAGCAGTCACTGTTTTAAACAACTTCCTGCTTATAACTTACCTCTTGCTTGTGGGGTTTATCTTGCTGGTGAATCCCATTAGCAGACCCAGAATTTCCAACAGGCTGCAATAGAGAACGGACAATACTTACTGAAAAGGGACACAGAGCCTAGTGGTTTTGCCTACAAGCACTGAAATCTGGCAAGACTGCCATCTCCTTCCCTAGCAGCCCACTCCACACAAGGAAAGGAGAATGCAAAATTCCCACTCCACTTTTGACAAGAAGCTTCCTGCCCTCCGCACCCTGGCCCAATCCTCACGTGCCGGATTGCATCCTTCCCAGCGACAAAACATCCTCCGAGTTCCTTATGGACACAGACCCCGCTCTTCACTTCTGACTCTTAAATCCCAATAAACAAACCCTCAGCGAAGGGCAGCGTTAGCTGCAACACACGGCCCAGTGAACATCCCAGCAGTGAAAAGGACATTTGCCATTCCCCATTTCCTGTCTCTGGGGACAAGTCTGGCAGCCAGGGCAGGCTGTTCTATCTTTAGAATGCACAAGAACTTTTAAACATTTATAATGTTTCTTTAGCAGGGAAAATATGGAGCCCTTCAGCTTCAAAATGACAGTACAACCGGCACAAACAAAAGAAGAAAGCTGCAGCCTGAAGTCACAGCATGCCAGATGTCAGTTGCTTGGGTCTTGGTAATCAGATTCACAGTTGTTGGTGAATTGCTGATGGCAGCAAAACCAGACATTATGGGGAGACAAGACTGTAAGGCTTAAAACCCATCATTAGAGGAGTCCCTGCTACCCAGCTTCCATTCTTACTGTGACCATGAAGGTACATAATCAACCTTATGGGACAGAGGTTTAGTTTGGGCAGGAAAAACAGGCAGAGATTCAAATCAAGCTCTGCTTTGACAGCCTGAGCTGTTTGCCAGACAGTGAATCCTACCTGGATGGATGGCAAGAATAGTGCTGCTGAAGGGATTCAGCCTTGGGGTCTGCACCCACCACACCAGGCGATACAGGCCTTGCACAAGGCAACGTATCCTACCCTGGCTGCAGCACACCTAATCTGTGTGCTAAGCAGCTATCAGACACCAAGAATTAGGTTGAAATTTGGTCGCAGTACATGGTCACGATAATGAATAAAGTGGTGCAGTTTGCTTGAAATTAAGTGAAAAAGCTCCCAGAGCAATCACTGCAAGTTCTCCAAGAAAAGGCCTGAGTGCCAAATCCTTGTCATTTCCTGCAAAGCTGTGAGATCAGGGTCTCCCAAGACACAGAGAAGGCAAATATCCTCTTCCTCTATTACAGGACAAATACTTCGCAGCTGCAGGCATGGAAACAGCAAGGCAGCAATTACTCAACAAGGAGATGAAGACACAGTGCCATTATGCTCCCCGGGATCCTGCACCTCCTTGTCTAACAGCAAGGCCAGCCATGCACATCAAGGACTGCAGAGCGCGGCGGCTGACGAAGCCTGCAAAGGGAGAGCAGCAGCAGCTTGCGGTAATTGGAGATTTCCTTCTTGAGCGTGCTGCGAAGCGAAGGCTTTACAGACAAAGGGAGAGCGATGCCAAGGCAGATCCCTGGGCAACAGCTGCTGCTGTCAGAGAGGAGAGGGGAGGTCAGAAGGTAGTGCAGAATAGGTTACAGCGGAAATGTGGCTTCTGGGGAAGAACCATCAAATCCCTAAGTATTGCACCAGGGTCTCTTTAGGCTAGCAATGTCCTCAGGCTCAGCCTGAAAGCCCCTGGTTAACAACTCCCCTTCATAAGGGGAAGGATGAGCAGATACCATACCAAAACTAGGGAGCTTTCATCCAGACTTCCTTGTAACTAGGCACTTTAAAAATCCGACATCAATAGAAGTTTGAAGCCTAGCTTCCCACAATAATTTTCCGTCTGTCTCTTAGTATCACAGTTTGTAGTTGAAGGCATAATTCTATCTTGCCATATCTCTAAGATTTCTTACGCAGGAAAATATCAAAGTAATACCAGAGATAGACTAGCTGACCTCATAAAGTCCATTCCAACTCACTTTATTTAAGATTAGTTATTTTCTACAGTTGTGGAAGAAATAATTACCATCTGCACCACCCTCTGGAGACAGGAATGCGAAAGGGAAGGTTTCCTTTTCTCAAGGGACTTCACATTAAAGCAAACAGAGAATAAACTTTCCCCACCCCTCCCATAGCTTCCAACAGATGAGGCTGTCATGATGCATTTTCATTTGACACATAGCAATTACAGCAGAACCTAAAGTCACTCTGGAGGTACTGACAGGATTATAGTACATCTTGGGCTGCCACAAACTTGTCATCACGACTACAGCTGTCCTGCCTGGTGCTGGCAGACGGCTGCTGCTGCTGCACTGCGGGATAGAGACAGACTTGTCTGCAACACACAGATGCTCAGCTGAGCCAGCAGTGCTTTCAGGGCTGCGATTTTTACCATGCACTCTCCTCCTGACTGCCTCCCTGCAAGGACTACTGCAACACAAACAGCTGTTTGGTGTATCTGCAAATTGGGCAGAAGACGGTGTCATGGAAGGAGAAGACTGGATAACCCCCAGATTACCTACCACAACATATCTGCATCAGGGAAAACAAGCTCTCTGCCCACTCTCCGTGTCTAGTGGCTTGTTCTGTACTATCCTAAAGTGTCTGCTTGAATGTAAGTTGCAGCTCATTACTGCAAGAGAAAGATGTTTTTCAGCTAAGAATTCAAATGAGCAAGTACGAGAGAAACACTGGTGCATCTGGGCTCTGAAAGCCATGACCTGGTTGCAGACACAAGAGAAAATAGAGCTAGAAGAGCAACAAAGGACATGAAGCACAAAGCTTGGCACAAGGGGCAGGCCACTTCGCAGGAAGAATCACGCAGGGCTTAAACACCACAGGTATGAGATGGAAAAAGCCAAACACAAAGCTTGGCACAAGGGGCAGGCCACTTTGCAGGAAGAATCATGCAGGGCTTAAACACCACAGGTATGAGATAGAAAAAGCCAAATGTGGAGAATCAAGTTACTTGCAGCCTTCAATTTCACAAAAAAGGATGCAAGACAAATAACAGAAGCAGTTTTGCTTTTGTCGGAAGAAACAAGGGGAGACCAGAGGAAGCTGGGAAGAGAAGACAGTAACTGGAATGGGAACATTCATGGTCCATCAGTGAACCCAGATCAGATACAGGGATGCCTCCAGGAGCTGGTAAGAGAAATGGAAAACATTTTCCCAGAGTCACCTCCAAACTTTCTGCTTATGGACTGCAAGGAAATAAACCTCTCAAAGATGGCAGAAACCCTCAACTTTCATACTATCAAGTGCCTGTACCGCAAAGATATGTGGCCACACGTCATTGTAGACATAAAGAACAGTTACTCACACTGCAACCTTCCCCAAAACACCACATTTAGCAACCATTCTTGCAGAGCATGAGAGGATCCGTAATCACCAACCAGGAAGGCTTTTCTTAGTCTTAAGCGACATCTGACAGAACAAAGTCTTGCCAGCCTGATTCCAGCAGACAGAAAGTGACCCAGCTGATTGCATCACCCTCCACAGCACGGGGCAAGATCCCAGCAGATTGCTCAAGACAGATGACTGCTGAAGGCTGAGGGGCCTGGGACACGATTGCCACTGATGCTCTACCTGTGTTTTCTCGGAGGAGAGCCTCATCGCTTCCATGAGCTTCTCCATCTGGTGGCCCTGCTCCAGAGCATTGCGCAGCACGTCCTCTGTGCTGACGAGCCGGTGCTGCAGCCGGATCACTTCTGACTCTGACGAGGGGTCAATCAGGGAGTACCGCCGCTGATCCGTTACTGATTTTTCCTTGTCCTTATACAGCAGAGGGAAAATAGGAGCGTGTTAGATTAAAACCAGCAACTACAGAAACTAAGCAAAATAGAAATCCAGAGTTACTCATATAAACTGTGTTTTCATTTCAACAGTAGATGGGGTCAGAGCACAACTCTGAAGGCAATCGTATCAAGTGCAGCCAGCAGCAGCTCCAATTTGTTCCCAGTAGAGTTCAAATAAATTATTCACATTTCAACCACTGGAGGACACTGAAGTACACAGGAATTGGAGGACATTGCTTATTCCTAGATCAGAGAATGTGTAAAACAATGTGGGGCAGATAACCGACCTTCAGTTTCTCCCACAAATTTTAGCCCTGTTTAGCCACGGATCTAAAACCCGCGGGAACAGAAGAACACTGGAGAAGGACATATGGACATTTTTGCAGCTTAATGATGTGCCACTAAGCCAAGCCACAGCTCACAGGCGCTGTCAAGGAAGTTCCTGTCAGATGCTCAGTAGCACAAAAGAAAGCATGAAGACTGAGAGCAAGGGTGAAGGGCTAGCATGAGCAGCACAGAGCTCTCCAGCCCTCAGGCCAAGGCCAGGAGGGGTTTTGGTGCCCTCACCAACACAACCAGTTTCTCTCGCAGCCCCTTGATGTCATCTTTGAGCTTCTGTTCCTTCAGCCGCCACTCAGCTTTGTGCACTTCCCGGCTTAGGTCCCGTTCTGGCCCAGGCGAGTGCCGATTTGCCTCCAGTAACAAAGCTCTCAGCTCGTTCAGGCTCCTGGAAGAAGCAGCATGAGAAGGGGAAGACATTTCCAGAGCCCACACACCACTGGAGTCCCTCTGCGCTCCCGCCCACCTTTGCTACAGATCCAAAGAAAGGCCAGGGAGCAAACCTGACACAACTCCCACCGCTTTGGGGGCTTCAGATCTCCTGTCCCTCCCACTGTGCCAGCTTTAAAGAGACGGGGACCTGCACAGGGCCCCATATTTCAGAGCAGGGCAGCAGCCAGCTTCGCTTGTAGATGATTTCATTCAGCATCTACATGGGCACTGAGCTGTCTCGCAGCTCCTGGCAAGCAGTGAAAGGGCAGTCCCTTTGATGACTCACAGCCCCTAATTTTAACCAAATTCCCACACAAATATCTCTAAAGAACAGGAAAGCTGGGGGGTAGACTTCAACAATTTAACCTCTAGATTTCTTTTCGTGGTAAATGACAGCACCCTGAATGAACATGAACACACACACAGAGCCCTCTGTCTCCTGCTCCATCCTTCAGACCTGCAAACTGACCTTTCCTTCTTGAGTAGCTCCTGGCTAATCAGCACCAGTTGCCCGGAAGCATCATGTGTTTTCTTGGTCAAGGCTTCCAGTTCACCTTCCAGCCTCTTCTTTTCTTTTAACACTGAATCAGCCTTCTTTTCTGCCATTTTGCATTTATTGTCCAAAGCTACAAGAAGCAGAGGATACAGGGGGAAGCAAGGTCACTTAGTCCTTTACTCACATTTCTGCTTTTTGCCTTTTCCCAATTCCCACTCCTAGCAGCATAGACCTGGTTAGCTCTGGGTCTGGCCCTGTTTGAGGGGAGATCTCGGAAACAACACACCCAGCTCTGTTCACTTCTGCCTCTTTCAGCTTTTGACACTCAATGGTCAGAGGACACAAATACCTTCTGCAGTGCTTGTGTTCAGCTCCTGAAAAGAGACTGAAACTCCTGAACAAAGTTTTACCAACAATATCCATTAAAAGACAGGCAGTGTCATGTTTTACACCTGCCCATTTCAGCATCTCAGCCCTTGCTCAACACCAGTACAGAGGACAAGCAGGGAAAAACCTAGTTCCCACCAGCGCTGGATTAGGGAAACTTACCACTTACTTGGGCCCTTAGAGTTTCAGTCTGGGACACCAGTGATGACACTTCTTTGTCTCTTTTACTCAGCTTGTCTTGGAGGTCTGTGAGAGAATAAAAAGACAAAGATCAGAAGCTTGGAAAATGCTTTGTGCAAATCAGGAAGGTATCGAGTGTACAGGACGGGTTGGGGTGCGACAGGGGCATGGTGGTGGTACCCTCCATCGGCAGAGAAGCAGCAGGAGACAGGTAACGGGTGTTTCTCACTGCAGCTCACTACCCTCCAGGCATTAGGAGGCAGGATACACAGCTGGGAAGCCATATCGGACAGGCTTAAGAAAGCAACCACAAGGAGGGGAGGGAAGGGAATAAAACATTAATAAAAACCTCAGAAAGGAACTTTCAGTACATTTTTTTTGTGTTACCTCCTATACTGAATGGCAGACGCAGTTTTAAAAAGATGTGTTTTCTGGAACTGATGCATTTCCACACTCAGAGCTGTAGAATTGAAGCATGATGCTGCTGTTGTTCAAGTCTGAACTGGTTGGTTTTAGCACATCTATATATGGCTTATTCAGTGTGTAAACAACATGCTTATGGACTGAGTGGCCATTTTAAGAGCAGTGGCTGCTGGACCTAGTTACAGGAATTACCTGTCAATCAGCATACAATTTGGTATAGCACATATGTAATCTTGTGCCTGCAAAGACAGTGATGAAGCTGACTGACAATGTCTAGCTAGCATTGAGGATAGATGGAAACAGGACAAAGCACCTCTATCCCACAAACAGCTGGAGGGACATTCAAACTAAACAAAGTTTCTATTAAGTGAAGTTGAAGCCAGTAAAAGTCCCCAGTAACCTCTGTTTAGGTTGCTACATCCTCAGCAGGGCTTTAACAAGGGCTTTGCAGAGAACAGATGCCTTAGAGGTAAATAATTGAGAAAAAGCTATGCCACCATAAGCCATTTGAAAAGAGAAGTGACAAGTTAGTTCTTCAGAGATCACCTTTGTGATTTACACTGATACATTTTCTGCTTAAAAAAAACCCCCAAACAAACACCAAAAAAAAACCCCAGAAAACAACCCTAAGGAAGAATGAAGAAATATGGATCTCCTGGGAATAAGCAAGGGAAGATGTGATCTGAAAGCACCGTAGGTGTCTTGGAACAGCCGTGAATTCTTCACAGACACCCAAAAGCGTATGCCACACACAGCGATGTCCTACCACATCGTTCGTAACAGAGACCATGTGGATCATCCAGCTCTAATCTTGCCTGGTCTGCTGTTCCTCAGAGTAGGGGTTACAGCTTATCCTCTTTGTGAGGGAGGCTGAGTGCAATTTAGTTTTGAAGCTACTTTATACAAATTTTCTTAGTGCATAAATTCTATTCTTTGTTAAAAGGATGGATTTGATTTATAGTCAGCTTAATAAAAAAGTAACCTCCATTATTTTAGAGCCAGTCACATTAATATCTACTGTTAGCAGTCCTCTCCTATGAACAAATTACATTTAATGTCTGGATTTTACCTGCTGTAAAAATCAGTGATGGGATGGAAGCATGTCCATTTCCCCAGATCTGTCTCCAACCTACACCATCTGCATGGTGAGTGTGTAACACAAGTAAAATCATCCACCCCTGCATGTGCTTGGTCAGATTAGAAGGAAAAAGGGAAAAAAAAAGAGGCAGACAATAAATGCCATCCAGCAAAATCTGAGAGATGAAACGGTTTCCTAAGCCATCCCTGCAGACAGTTAGAGGAAGGGAAGGCACACAAGTCACTAGAACAGGGTGTTCCAAGAAAAAACAATAAAATTTCATACCTTCCATAGTCTGCTTCATCTTTATCTTTTCTTCTGAAATATCATTAGATTCAATCATCTGAAACAAATGTAAAGTATGAGATATAAAACAGCCCTTTCCCAAAGATTCAAAGCAAAGTTAACAACCACAAAGCCCCATCCAAAGCAGAAGCGTATCCAGTACTCAAGTTACAATGTTTTACATCCTTCCCGAGAGGGAAACAAAGGCTTTTGGGGAGTCACTTCTACAGTTGGGTACTACTGAAGGCTAACTGGTACCATCTGAGAGTGCCCACACACAACAGGCAGCTGAGCACAACAGCAAGAAGCACCCAGGAGGGAAAAGAGATCAGACTTTCCCCACAAGCTCTGGTTCCAGCTTTTACACACTCAGAGTTTGTGCAGAGCGAGGGAAGAGCTGCTCTCCTTTGGACCATTCTCCTGTCGTTAATCACAGAAAATATTCAGGTGCAAATGCTCTTTAGCATTCAGCTTGAGACCTACCAAACAACAAGTTCCTCCACTTCTGAAGAAGCTAACTGTGCCTGATGTTATAAAAACAGTAATAAAACATTGATAAAATAATAATTATTAGAGAACAAATACATTAATAAAAATAATAAAGAGTAAATGCTAGTCAATGTAGAGGATTCTGCCTTTCCTCCATTCTCTTTTGTCTACATTGCAACGAAAAGCCAGAGACCGCAGAGCTCATGGCCAAGCTTTCCATTGCAAGGGCCACAATTCAGCCCTTCAAGCCCCTTCACGTCCAGCAGCCTTTGGTGGGAGCTCAGCACATGCCCCAGATCAAGCAGTTGCTGTGGCCACCACCGCTGAAAGCCCTGAGGTCAGACCCCAAGAGCTGGAGCGGGCTGCAGGATACATCAAGCAGGAGCACACCCAAAGGGGAAATAAGCCGCTTGATGTACTACTTGTGTGGAAAAACTATTTAACTGCTCTTTGGAAGCACAGTTGCGGTTCTCACTTGAAGGTCTAGGAAAGATGGTCACAAGACACATTTGTTTGTTTAAAATACTTGGATAGTTAATACTGCAGTCACATTAAATTAGCTAAGACATTTAAAAATAGAATTTGCCCTGTGATACTCAAAGGCTTTCACCCATGCATTTCTTCCCACATTTTCCTGATTTTAATTGACACATAGTTAAAATAATTATTTCAAGACTCCCTGGTTCTAATCCAATATCAATATCCCTCAGAGTCCTCTCATTTATCTAAAGGGCTCTGGAACAAGCCTCCAGCTTCTTCTTTTACATTCATTCCTGTTTGAATATAGGCTATAATATGTGACATGTTGTAATAACAACCCACTTTTCCCCAGGCCCTGGCTGTACTTATTGTTCACAACTGTCTTTACTAGATGAAACATGTTGGAGAAACCCTGGAAACACCATTAATACTTTAGATTCCTCCTTGGGCTTTTGCCTCTCCTGTCTAGTTCATTGTGCCTTTTTGCAGGCATGAAGCTCTGACTTGGCCATCAGTAATTCATGGGCCTGATTTTGCTGCCTAGAGGTGCAACCAATTTCAATAGGGCTGTTCATGTTGGCAAATTAAATATAGGCATTGTATTCACTTCATTGGCACCCCAGTCTGGAACACTGACTACATTGCCAGCGATAGTTTTCAAATGAGTATTCTTAAAACATGCACATTTTATGGTTTCTTTTCATTTTATGTGTCCCACAGGGACAAGTTGTAAGTTGGGTTTTTGCTCATTTCTCATGCAAAATCCAAACATAAATAGGGGTCCAGCTGAGAGCTAAGAGTAGCCATCTCCCTCCCTCACTCTAGCACAAAGCCAGCCTCGTGTCCCTGTGCCATGCACAAAGGCAGATGGCATCCTGTGGCAAATAGTGAAAAAAATAAGGATGACTTAAAAAGACACAAAGGCGACAGAAAATTGATCTCTTCATATTATTACTGTTCTTATTCTAGCCTTCCCTGGGAGGCTCAGGACTAGTATTCAAGCAGGCATTTTATTTCCGCAGCCTGGTACCATCCTAACCCTTGCTAGCAGCTCTTCCACTACAACCCTCAAAGTCCACATTTCCCTGTGTCTCCCATATATGCTGTGAAGCCTCCCCACTGCCTCTGCCGCATTGCTGGCATGCACCTCCCACCCAATCCCATCAGCTCAGCCCCCAGACTGAGGCTCTCAAACCATGCTCCACATGCTGAGCAAGCTACACGCTCTATCAAAGAATTATAGAATGTCCTGAGTTGGAAGGGACCCACAAGGATCATGGAGTCCAACTCCTGTCTCTCAGCATGGACAATGACTCCTCTTCCAACCTGTCCTCCACCTACCCCCAGAGGGCCTTGCTCAATAACACACTAAGGTTGCTGCAGCTCCTTGGAGGACAACAGCTGTATTGTAGAAATGATGCTTTTTCAGCTAAGAACGCTGCTTGGTCAGGATAAGAGCCCACCCCTGACAAACCACGATAGCCCTATTCTGCTGCCACAGCACTCATGTGCCTTCAAGCCCATATGTGGCCCATTTGCTTCTCTTGACTCTTATTTGTTCTAATGGTGCCACTGTAATGGCTTTCAAGAGCGGGAAGAGACACCTTCAGCATGGAGATGCAGTGTAGAAAAAGCACTATCAATGGAAGGTAAAAACATCCAGATACTTTGAGGCATAAAAGCCTCAGAAAACTGCAGAAGGCAGCACCTGAGGGCTGAGAGTTACTCCTTGGAAGGGTTACTAACAGTGATGATAAACAAGCAAAATGACCCAGAAGTCATACATTTGCACGCTGAGAAGGATGCAGGGCCTCCATGGACTGTAGCTTGTTCTCTAAGACAAGCACTTTTTCCTGCAATCTGTGGATCTCCTGTTTGCTCTGGGCTTCTGTTTTCTGTAACATTTCATAGTCCAACATCTTCTTCTCAGCCAAAGAAATCTGCTCTTTCAAGAAAGCTATCGCTTCTGTCTGATCTTTATATTCACCATGAAGTTTCTCCAGTTCATGCACCCTCAGCTCGGCATCTCGACACTGGTCCTTCACATCTTGGAGCTCAAGAAGATGCTGATTGCTTTTGGCTTCCAGTTGCATTTTCCAGTTGCTGTTGCTTTTTTCCACTTCATCCACAGCCTCCTGCAACTTCAGTTTGAGACTCTCTTTCTCCTTTATATGAACAGCCGTCTCAATGTCATGCTTTGCTTTCAGGTTCTCCAACTCAAGCTGGTGCTCCATCTTTATACTCTCCACCACTGCCTTCAGTTCCACGATCTCCTTGTGCTGGGTGTCGGGGCCTGTGTTTAATGTGGCTTTCAGGTCCTCCAGAGACTTCTGGTGGTCAGAAGCTAACGTGTCCAACTTGGACTTCCAGTTGTCCATGAGCCCCATGTTCTCGTTAGTGGCTTGCTGAACTTTATGCTTTAGGTCAACGATTTCTTGCGAGTACTTCTCATTGACAGATTTCAGCTTCTCCATCTCCTGCTGGTACTTCTTTAATGTCTTCTCGTACTTCTCCTTTAGCTGGCTGCTCTCCTTCTGATGCTCCTTGTTGGCAGACAGCAGTTGATCTCGTAGACGAAGAGCCTCTGACTGCAAGCCAAGGTTATGCTCAGGGGTCTCTGCTTGGTGGGAGCTCCTGAGGCACTGCCGAAGCTCATCCACCTCGCTGCGCCTGAGGCTCAGCTCCTCCTCCAGCTGCAGGATTCTGGACTTCTCAGCTACCGTGGTTAACTGCAACATGACAGAGAAGACAAAGTCAGTCCCCACCTCTCATTGCTGCATCCTTCCTCTTAGTAAGTGTGCTCCAGTGGAAGTAAATCCAAAGTACATTAGTCAAAGTTCAAATAAACAGGAAAAGAATACCCAGCACCCTCCAATACGAGTACAGTTTTGCACCAGGGTAACCATCACCGGTAACTCTAACAGTTATGTCTTTGTGCCAATTGCAATTTGTTTATTTCTAATACAAACCTTTTGTTTCCCCACAGAAAAACACAAATCTTTCAAACAATCCTTGATATATGAAAAATAATGTCCTGAAAGGGCATTATATTTCCAGACTAGGCATCTTGCCAGATGATGCACAGAGGAAATGTGACTGCACATGCAGGAATATCACAAGCATTGAAACCAGCATTAAGCATATCATGTTTCCTTTATTGCTCAGCAATCCTCAGCCTACAGACCTCTCTTCCGCATCGTAATTTGCTTACCCTGGTGTAAAAAGGAAAAGGGATTTTTACACATGAGTACTTGTTAGAGTTTATTAGCAAAGTAAAAGTAATGTAGAAGGCTAGAGGATGCAAGACAATAAATCTGGCCATGGTTAACATTGAGCACAAGGGCTATGGATCAATGTCTTACGATCTGAATGTAACCCAACAGGGCTGAACTACCTGCTAGTCACAGGGAGTTCAGGGTGCTGCAGCTATGGATGGAGAAGAGATTTGACCAGATGAAATATTAGAAAAATGCAGAAGAAACAAGGAAACCAAGCCAAAACACAAGCAATCAATTCCATTTCATTTCAATTGCCATTTTCCCCACTAACCATCAGTCCAGGAGGCTGGGTGTTTTTTATTTTAGATGGGCACAGGGGCATTCAAACCATTTAGCCCTTTTGAAGAATCTCATGTTTGTGTTTTCTACAGCTCTAAAATCATTTAGTGAGAAGCAAGCTCACTATAGCAAGTTTGCCGCTTCCCACACCACATCAGCATGAAAAAGCCCTTTCCACATCTGGTTGTTTTTAGGATCGGGTATGCTGTTCATCTGTTGCAGGCATGGCCAAGGATCGGAGCTGGTCCACCCGCACTCACCAGTGTCTTCCATTTCAGATTGCTGGAGGGGGGACAAAGGGAATGCCTTTGCTTTGTTATTGCAATATGCCTGATTGCAACGTTATTTCCTATCACAGCCTAGGGGAGCCTCAAGGCAGAATGAATTGTGCAGGGTGCAGATATTATTTGGGCGTGTTAATTGGAAAATGAATTGTGAAGAGCTCATGTGTCAAATGGTGGCATGGGGCAGAGAAGCAAACTCAATCTGAGAAACAAGTCCCCACATAAGAAGCAAAGCTAGAAATTATATTGTACTACTATTTCCAGGAGAGACAGCAAATAAAAACCAAACCAAAAATACCAGGGAAGCCTAAATTCAAGCCCAAATCAATCAACCCCACAAAAACCAAAAGAAAGAAACCCAAAGCAAGGCGTCATGAGCATCAACGCAGGGGGCAAGCGTGCTGTTCTGCAGGCAGGGCAAGTGGGGGTCGATTACCCTGGCGTCCTCTAATTCTCTGAGGAGTTTTTCAGCCTGTGCCTTCTCAAACAGCAGGCTCTGCTCGAGCTCCCGTATTCGGGCATGCTCCAACTGCGTCTGAGTCTGGTCACACAGAGGGAAAAAAAGAACAGTGGAGATGGGAAAAGGGGAAGGGGGAGAGAGGGAGAGAGAGAGAGAAAGAGGGAATAGAAGGCTGCAACATCATCTTCAGTGTACAAGACAAGGAAAGGCAGTTCACAACAGAAGGAGAATAAAGATCCAAACAAGCAGGAGAAATCCAACCAAACAGAAAATGGTCACTACGGGATTTTACATGGTACTCGTAGTGGCTATTCACAAGAAAATTGCATCTGTGATGGGAAAACACCCCTCTGCATTAGAAAGCTGCTTCAGCATTTTCCTGCAGCACGACTACACCGAAGACACTTCCTAAAAAGCAAAGCTCCCACCGCTGCAGACCACCAGTACAAGATCCTTGCACTACATAAGAGAACGCAAAGACCTTGCAATGATTCTCCGCACCTCTCCTCAAGAAGAATCACAAGGTAGACTGAAAAAGAATTGGAAGTTCCCATCCTCTTTTTGCTCCAGAGACAGCTTGAACCCTGCACTAAGTGGAAAAAAAAGCAGATCATACTGTACATAGCATGTTGCTAAAACCAAAAATACACTGCACTGAAAGCAAATCAGAGAAATGTAGATACCAAACTGTTACATAAATCCGCGCTTTAGGTTTGGATAGGGCTGCTATGAATTTCAAAGTGATTTTTGCACACTAAAACTCTAATAGCCTTGTACACAAGAAAACAGAACTATTTTTTTGTTTTGTTTTTGCTTTTTTGGTTTTTTAGGCAGATGATTAAACTAAGCACAAGAAGTTTCTCTAACCTGCTAAAATCCAGGAGCACTGACTCAGGGCATTGCTTACGTGCCCTTCATTTTTAAAGCAGAAGTACCATATAGCTGCCCTTGGTGGCAAACCTTGGCACTCCATAACGACCACTGTAATATCATGTAAAATTTCCCATAAATAAAAGAGGAGAGGAGACATGGGAAAATGCATGCAGACTCTGGCTTTCACATTTTTTTAGCTTACAAAACCAACATTTTCCTTTGAATTAAACTGGACCTACCAAAAACCAAACCAACCTGATCAGAACCATTTTTTTTTTTACCCCCATTTTCTGCCCTTGATTTTCCATATAATTATTTGCTTCCCCCTCTTTCTATTGGAATCAGTTTTAGGGCTTTTCTACCCTTTCCTACAATAAAGCAAGTTTTGGTTAGTTGTGTACAAACAATGGAAATTGAAGTTTGTAAAAATCTGTTTTTTGTCTTATGGCTGGAAAGATATCACTATACATGTATTCATAGATGGTCCAGTTCTCAGCTGCCAGATATATTCAGACTACTCCATATTTCATGTGCTCTATTTGAACCTTGAAGGGGAAAAAAAAAAGATGTCGTCTCAAAACCCCAAACATTATTAAAAGCCCCAAATAATATCGTTGAAGTGCAAAAGTTAGCTGAATGCATCCCAATAAGAAAAACAAAGAAGATTAATTTTGTACTGAGTGGCTTCTCCTGCTCTCTGCAAAGCTCGAAGATCCACATCTCAAGATGGAGCTCCAGGCTTGATTTTATTTTCAGGGATAATTATTCCATTCATACCAATGAATTTTCCTCAATTTATACTAGCTCAAAATCCCCAAGTGAAACTTCAACAACAGACTTTTGAAATTACCTTAACTGGTGGCTACATATTCAGATATTGGCTACCTGAAGATGCTGATGTATTATAAAACTGCTCTCTGAATCTCCCAAAGAGACTCTCTCAAGACTCCCGAGGTTGACACTCAAGTTCCCAGCCAAGCTATCTCAGTTCCACCTGATACTCTTGCTCAGTATCTACCAATCCTGTTATTTTCCAAGTCTGGAAAAACACATGAAAATAGAGGAGAAAAATAACCAGGGAAGAAAGTAAGATCAACTGTTCTACAGTCCTTACATTTTAGATTTGCATCAAGTCCTGTATTATTTCTTATTTTATGCAAATTGGCTTGCCTAGCCAGTATGACTCGGAGCCTCACATCCAAAGTTTTCCTGCACTTTGACGAAGTGCAGATCTGAATTTTAGTCTTACTTCTAGCTATTAGCTTCAAATTACTATTCACAAATTACAAACTGACTTCCCACTGGTGTTCAAGCCATAACGCAGGTTCCAGGAGATAAGCATGTGACAGTTCCTTGAAGAGGTAAATATTTCCTATAAACCACAATCTTCCACCAGAAAAAAGCCTTTCTTAGAGGGTTTTGTTTTCCTGCAATTGCTTTTCACCTTCCAAAGCACTATAGCATCAGCGTTGCCAACCAGCATCAAAAATGGGTTGAATTCATAACTACCTTTCAAGGCTAAAGCTGCAGCCCCTTCTTTATCAGAAGTCCAAAAACTCAATCCATATTTCCAAGCCTCAGACACATTGATTTCTTTGGTCAAAGAGTTTCTAGGAATGCTGCCTGCCATGCTCAACACCTGAGCATCCTGGATTATGTTTAAAACCTACATGCTATTGCGAGAAATACCATGAGATTTAGCCTAGCCTTCAGCAGAAACCCTAGATCCAGGGACCACAGAGGAGATAATCTTTTCTTACCATCATGTCTGTTACTGGCTGTTAAGCACAAGATAAACATTCTCCTCTGAGTACTCAGAAGAGGGCTGCTGGCCTAAGAGGACTAACAAGACCAGAGGAGGGGAGACAACCGTCACTGGGTTTTGCTTTTGGTACTTGGGTGGTTAGTTCAGCTCAAGCTAGGGATGCAAAGGGCTGTGCTAGTAGCCACTAGTTCACTGTGTTGTGATTTTACATGAATATCAGGAACGACCATTTCCCAGAAAATACGCTGCAACACGAAGGAGCACTTACTCCCCTGATTTCCAATAAGAGATTTTTTTTCTTCAAGTGAATTACTTGCTTCTGGAAATCCTAACTGTCTCCACAACAAAGCAGGAAGGTGAGAATTAACTCCAGTGGGTGGTCAGTCATTCAGTCTGAGCATCCAAATTAGACAGGACAGGATGTAAAAACTGACCACAGCCAAGCCCTCTGTCAATGCCCGTGCTGTCACTGGTGTTGGACTCATGGGGAACATCTCAGTTCTCTGGATCACCGAAAACCAAGTTGCTCCATTTTTAAGAAGTTATTTGCTCTTCTGTACAGATGAACATGGAAGTGAGGACAGGACCCTGGCAGCCTGCAAGAAGCTTGGCCACATCCCCATTGCAAAGCAACTCCTTCCCAGCCCAAATGAAAACCAGATCTATCCTTAGTTTGGGACCTGCAGTCATAGGAGGGCTTATGTCACAGCAGCTTACCATCTTGCTAAAATATGGTGTTTTTTTTTTTTTAAAAATATATCTAAATATACCTGCTAGCTAGTTCTGGTCCCATTGCCATTATTACACAGCCAGGCTTAAAACACTTGCACAGCTTGCACAGGGATAATTCGCTGCTCTCAAAGGGAATGATGGATAGATCAACCACCCTTCTATAAAGCACTGGGGGAAACTATCATCTAAGCTAAGGAATCAACAGAAACCTGATTTTGCACCCACACACTAGGCAGAAACTGCACTTGCTGTCCTTTAGCAAAGGTCTGCTATCAGTGCATTGCTGATTTATACCCTGTCAAACATATTACTCAGCTTCAGCTTCTGGATAAAGAGCAGAGGTTTATACCAAGAGGGTCAAAGCCATAGCAACATACTCCATCGCCTAATTTTCCCATTTTCCTGTGCTTTTATTGATATGACCGACAGCAAAGCACACCAGCAGGTCCCTTGACATTTCTGGCTGTTACTAACCTAGTGCTCTAGCTAAAGGTATGTGAAAGTCTCTTAATTTACACGTGTAAAGCAGAGCCTTGCTTCCACAGAAATATCTTCTTTTCCTCCCCCACCCACCCCTCGAAAAGCCTCCCACTCAAGGACAGGTTTCCAATACCACTTCCAGTTTGCACAACGTTCACTGCAACAGCATTGCTGCAAGCAACAGTCCTTCCAAATGAAAGGGTATCCTAGTGTCAAACCCCACCCTCGTGGGCAGAGGACTCCACACGAGAATACCGCAGGTCAAACGATACATGGCATTTCGGCTGGAATAAAATAGCATCTGACTAGGGGATTGTGCATGGCCATTAGCTGCTAATAGCAGGACACTGCAGGGACAGTGACTGAGCAGTCAATTCATTTCTACAGTGGAAACACATATGTCGACATGCGTTCAGATACAGTCAGATTTTAACATGGCTTGGCAACTCATGGTGACATTTAAAGCCAGGCTGGCTGCACGTGATTAATTCTAGGCAGCTCCTAGCATTATTAGTCATTGGGCAACATACCAAACCACAGTTTATACCACGGTGTTCGCAGCAGGTCCGAAGCCATTAATAAAGATAAAGTATTGTTTAGAGTTCAGCAAAAGGTGGCAGAAATTACTCAAGTGAGGCCCCACATGCAATTTCAGGTTCTGACCCCATATTTTGGTAAGGGTATTGGCAATTACCTCCAGGTCCCCCTTTGTAATGGATTCTTCCTCCACACGGAACTGCAAGTCCTCTACTTTCCTGGGGAGGGGAAAAGACACAAAGAGCAATCAGTAACATCCAGATCAGCATCCCATTTCTAAGCAGCCATTGCACATGGGCTTTCCCTGCACAACCAAAGTCTGAGAGGAGATGGATACAAACAGCTCAGAAGCTAAACAAGACCCATGGAGCTAGACAGTTAATAAGCAAGCTTCCCACATAGTAAACATTTGCCTTCTTGCAAGGCACACACTCACAGACACGGGGTTTCTGCTGCACCACCTCTCAGCAGGCACAACTACTGTTCACTGACACAGCAGTCCTGAAAACATGAAAACCACAACCAGGTTTCACTGGTTTGCTTAGACCTTGTTATCCTGCAGCCAAGCACTGGACAGTTCCTGTGCCAAATGCACAGGGCCCATACAAAATACTCCAAAGCAATCAGAGCCTCTGCCTCCTTGGCAGAGGGTGGGCAATGCTGAATGTTTCCACAACAAGGAAATGGTGAGCCACTCTGGCAGAAAAGCCTTCACCAGAGATTGCATAGGCCAGTCATGCATAAATGCACATAAAACCACATGCAGAAACACAGACACGCCTCGGACTCTTCTGCAAAGTCTGAAGAGAAAAATTCGGTAACAATACAAAATTATTCAATTTTCTGCTAAACTCAATCCTCTTTGTTCTCTTTGATTTAAAAAAAAAAAGGCAATAACGAGGATGTTGAGCTGGTAGCCAGATGTAAGGACTCTGATTCTGTTACAGATAAAAATAGCTGTGAATGTACATATCTAACTGCATAAACAAGCTTCCTTGTCTAAACCTCCTCTAATTAGAGGAGGCATCTGTTGATATTTAGGAAAGAACTCAGCTGTCTTGGGTTAAAGGGCCTCCTGGAGCTGGGAAAGTGAGCTGCCTACCAGGAGAACAGGGAGACTTATGCACGAAAGAACAATTTGTCCTCAGGAGGGGCATCATTCAATTGAAATCAACACTGGTTTCAGTTACTTAATATACAGAAATGTCTTTCAATTCCCACTGAAGAGTTTAATTATATATATGGAGCAATCGGACTCCAAGAATGACAAGCAGATCTTCATTTTTACCCAGAGAGGAAATGTATGCATCATCATATATACAGAGATGGGGCCTCTGGGACATGGGGAGATGATGAATCACACTACAGTAAGGCTGTACTCCAGTTTCACTTCCCTTCCTCAGAAAGAATGTCCTTAAGATCAGCACATCATAAATAGAGGGGAAAGAAGTGGTCTTTAGCAAAGCTGGGATGTACAGAGAAGTTTGGGGTCTGGAAGGGCCCAACCTGCACAGTTCTGTTTATTATCCAGTACTGTTATTTTATGCTACATCCTTAGCCAAGAACATCTGAAGGCAAGGCTTTGTCACTGCCCACACCCTTGCCATGAGTTAATCCCACCTTTACTGAGTAATTCCACTTTACACAGTGACACAGCTGAGTTTGGTCAGGGTATCAAATCTCAGAGTAACTGATATTAGTGGAGCCCTTCGTTCCTTCAGGAAAATAATGCTGCTTCTCCCTGCTCTGTGTTGGGAACAAAACAACAGGGAAGGTGGCTGAAAACCCTCAATAACTTCATTGCCCAGAGGGAGACCAAGACTATTTGGCCTTCTACTGGCAGTAGCAGATCAGCTGTTGGCCACCACTGTACTGTCAGTGCAACATTTGCCATGGTCAAGTGCTCTTGGACACGCAAGCAGCCCATCAAATATTTATCGGGGTCATCACAGAAGTGCCAGCACTTGAGTTCTAATCAGGAATGGAAGTTGATGGTGTCTTTTTTTTCCTGTAAAAAGTGCTACATGCATTTGGCAGGAAAGCGTGTCAAATCATGAAATTCCTTTTGGCAACAAAACAGAGCTGCCCCTACCCCAAGTATGAGCTGCCCTGGCTGGCTGTTTGTCTTCTGCCTTTACAATTGCATTGCAATAGTCAAGTTCAGCTGAGCATACTGAAAAAACCTGAGACTGCTCATGTCACAAAAATTAGCTCACTGCAACCCCACTGAAAAATACAGCATTGAGTCTCCTCTAAGCACCATAAGACATAGGAATGTACAAGACTAACTGGAAATACTTCACTGTTCGGTTGTGATTAGCAGCAGTTTGTCAGCAAATGGGGGCAGCCACAGTACTGTATGACCAGCCCCAGACAAGAGTCACATCAGATGTGCAACTGCAGCAAAATTGTGCTTAACTTCCCGTTACCTGAAGCAGCGCATCCCTTCCCTACATGCAGGCAGACCACAGTGGCCAGAAGAGTGAAACACAGCATATTTGAACTACTGGAAGACATCCAAAGATTACTTTCTCAGTCACTTTCTTCTCCTTAGATCCAACGGAGGACATTCTTTGGTAAGAGCCTCATCTCCCCCATGACTTCACCTCTTCCACACCCATCCACTCCTGCTTTACCTCTTCTCCTCTTCCAGCTGGTTCAACAGCTCAATCTTCTCCTTCTGCATCCCATCCACCAAGGCTCGTGCTCGCTGGAGGTTTCCCTCTGCCTCCGTGACGTACTGCAGCAAAAAAAAGAGCCCAAGCCACAAAAGTTAATGTTTGAAGTACAGAGTTGTTTAAAAAAAAGGATCAGAACAAGTGATCGGAAGGTTTTGATGATCTGTTTCTCAAAGGATGCTATGGTAAGAAGGTAGATTTTCCAAAGAGCCCAATAGGTAGGGATCAAAAATTAAGAAAAGTTGCACAATCTCCAGCAGCTGAAAATTTGATCCATGCTTCAGTGCCTCTCTGACTTGAACCCTTTGGAGAATCCAGCTCCGATTAAGAGTTAGGAACTTGAAATCTGAACAGTTTTGAAAATCTGGTCTGAGCTTACCAGGTGCAATTCAGCCCTGTTCATGAAGCAAGGGAGAGACTTCAGACCCGCGTTAATTCATTTTTTACTGGTAATTACTGGAAAATACTACACACAAGGAAGATATCAGCTTGCTGTTGAATTGCCAATTTCTCCTGCATTTCTGACAGGCAGGTGTGGCCCACCACACAAAGATACACAGTGCCACCCCTGCTCCCTGACCAGGGCTTTATAAACACAAGGGAGGAATTTAGGGCAATAGCAGTCATTGAAGGCACATATTGATGAATAGCGCAAACACAACTCCTCTCTTTAAACGTTCAAGTGCATAAAATATGATTTGTACAAATGCTTGTGCAAAAAAAAAGCTTATGTGATCCACCTGTTTTCCTTACAGATCTCTTGACTTTATTAATGTGATAAAAACATTCTCTCTGGCAGGAAAGCAGCAACATGCAAACTGAGCTGATGTTCTCAGTAGTGTCTGATAGCATCAAAAAACCACTGCAATGCAGTGACAGCCAAGGCCAGATTGGGCAGCTAAGGGGAACAAGTCTGCCCTCCACTTGCATTTCAGCATTCAAATGTATTGATCCACCAGGCACAAACTGCCTACTGTCTTTTTTTTCTGGCACAGCTCTTTTTCTACTCCTGGCTTGGGGCAGAGAGAGCACATGTGACACTGGCAGGAGTGGAGAAAGAGCCTCAGCTTCACCCACCATGCAGGAAGCTCTCTCCACATAAAAGGCAGAAATTCAGAGCCCAGGTTTACCACTGTATAGCTTCCTGATGTGAATGTCATGATCTGAAATTTTCAGAGAATGCCTGATGTTCGAGTGCTAGTCATAAAGTCACTTCCTACCTGTTCATGTTGGGCCTTCATGATGGCAATCTCTTTCTCCGCCTCAGCTTCACCCACCATGCAGGAAGCTCTCTCCACATAAAAGGCAGAAATTCAGAGCCCAGGTTTACCACTGTATAGCTTCCTGATGTGAATGTCATGATCTGAAATTTTCAGAGAATGCCTGATGTTCGAGTGCTAGTCATAAAGTCACTTCCTACCTGTTCATGTTGGCCCTTCATGATGGCAATCTCTTTCTCCACCTCACAGATGTGGCTGGTGGCTTTGGCAACCTCAGCCCGCTCCAGGTCACGCTCTGCCAGAAGCTGTTCAATGTGCTGCTGCTTCTCCTTCAGTGCCTCCTGGAGAGCTGTGGTGCCAGAGATTTTTCGGGCATATCGAGAAGAGGTCTCTGTCAGCTGGAGAGAGAGTTAAAAAGAGACAGGGGTAAAGTTATGTCCTTCCCAGTCTAGAATACCTTGAAGTCCCCCGTTAAATCTGGAATGCAGCTCACCTACTGATCATTTATTAGGCTGCACAGAGCTGCAGTTCCAGCTCTGGCCCCTACAGGTGGGGTTAACAAGTCTGCAAAACATCCGGACACTGCTCACAAGCTCAACAGCTCTTCTACACTGCAATGAAAGGACGATTTCCCAAAGGACAGGATGTGGGGTGGGAACTGGGTCAGGAAAGATTATCATATATTGTATCATCTGCTGCCTTAAATGTTTTATTGATGACCTGCACTGGTGCAGTCCCAAACAGTGAGCTCAGCTGGGAGGACTGATCTCCACTAGAGACTGGTATAGGCTACTTGGATGCACTCCCAGTAATGGATACTGCACCCTTGTCCCCAGCCAGGATGACTGCAGGTACTATGCAGCACACACTACGGCAGAGTCAGAGCTTTTAATGATATTGGTGCCTGCTCTGGTGTCCGCCTTCTTGAGTGCCTGCCAAAGCACAAGTCGTGTGATCCAGGACAGTGTCACCCCTCCACAGTAAAACGCAGTCATTGCAGGAGCTTTGCATAGCTGTTCAATACAGCAGCACACTGCTACACAACCACACGAGACAAGAAGCAATGGCATTTTTCTGCAGGGATCTTATATAAACCCTGCTTTTGACAGCAGAGCTGAGATTCATCCCATTGCAAATAGCAGTTTAAGCTCTTTAACGGTCACAATTGCTCCATGTCTGTTACAACTCCTGTGTCCATGAAGAGAGTCCTATTTGTAAGGTGGGTAACAGTATCCCACACTCCACTCCCCTCATCAAATTGATGGTGAAGGAGCAGCTGCCCCAGTGCAGCTGCTGAAACAAAACCCCAACCCTCCCACTTTGTAGAGCTGGGTCACAGAAGTAGTGGATGGAGGCTGCACGGTCTGTAGAAAAAGCCACTTACCAACCCACTGCGGCTGGGCCTGCCCCCAACAGATGATGCCACTGAGCTGACAGAGCTGATGGAGGAGCTGCTGGGGCTGTGGGTTAAGGCAGACACTCCCATGGCCATTCGTTTGCTCTTCTTTGCCTTGGCAGGGCTGGTTGACGGGAACCCGATCCGGATCACCTTGTGGATTGGAGCAAAGAGGCCAAACTTGGGAGGGCACTGAAAATACCTGTAAATACAGGAGATGCACCAATTCAGAGGTGGTAGAGCATCCATCTCGCCCAAGCCTCACAGAATGGCATTGCTAAGCAATACGCAACCCCATCATCAGATCATCTCCAGGTGCTTCGCCGTGACGTTGTTTCCTGTGTGCAAGTGGTTGGATTATTCTCCTTTCCTGCCGCTTAGAGCAACAATCTCCATGTTTTCACTCGTGGTGCTTAAGCAGGGAAACCAGAGATAATTGCCACGCACTAGTTGCTGCACACTTTGATGAGATGCCAGGAAAGACCCATCTGGTAGCCTGGGTAGCACAAGATCCCAATAAACATAGGGAGAGTATACACACTGCTTCCTTACAAATCAACCTTCCCCAAACCTGCATGTGTTCTCTCCCCTGCTTTGCAAGAAAGTCACATAGTAAAGGGTGTCGAATAAAAGATGCGAATTGCACAGCTCTGTATAAATGTTCTACACCGTAAAAGTCTTTCCTCTCAAAACAGAAGGAGAAAACAGCAGCTCCTAACGTCAAAGCTAAAAATACCATTACAGCAAACTCCAGTGTGTGCCATCTCTGGGTGGCAGAGGAAGAGAAACTGGTTCCCATGCAAACAAACTTAGAAAGCATAAAAAAGGGTGCATCAAATAATTACAGTGCAAGCTCTCTTCCACAGTTGCAGTGAGCCCGATGATTGTGTCTCTCTGGAGCCTTCTTTCAGAATACAAATGAGCCAAAACCCACAGTGTCAAACCTTGGAAACCCCTTCAGAGCTTGGGTTGACGAGCTCAAGCCAGGGTTTATCTGTGGCTGGCCAGCTGCACTGCAGCAAGTAAAACCATATCACCTCCAGACATCGCATCCCCTTGTTTCAAGGGAGTAACCAACAAAGACAACTGTCTCCTTTAAGAGTTCTTTCTCACAGGCTTCGTAGCAAGGCTAGGACTAAATACTAGGCCATGTAATTGTCTGTCCTACGTTAACATAAAAAACAGGTCCTAATGAATAAATGATACAAATTCAGCTTGGCTAGCACAAGTCCTCTCTCCAGATGTAAGCAGCTGCTTCCCCAATTCCCTTTTATTTTTAAGTGCTGGCAGCCACACGGCTGTGTGACAGGCAGACCTCTGTGTGCTTGGGAGGCCAGAGAACAGCCTGATCTCCAGCCAGATGACAGAGCAATTCATTTTCAAACATCTGTTCAAGCCCAATTTTTTTTTCTATAACCATCTTTAAAAAAAAGCCTTTACAACCCAAAATCACTTAGCCCTCTCTGCTTGCTGCCAACACAGGCCCTTGGGTTTGGAAAACCAGCCATACCGCAGGCTGACCTTGCTGGAGAAAAGGGACCCAAGGAAGAAAATCAGTCTGACCTCTAGCAAACCAGCCAAAGTCCTGCTTGGCATCATATTCTCAAACTGCAGTAGGCACAGGCAGACCAACAGCATGGCACAGCCCCTTCCACAGGTCTATCTAGTCTAAGCACAGACTGGTACTTGTGTCCGTACAACAATGCCAAAGGCTAAGTCCCTCAAAAGCCCCCTGACAGCTCTTAGCAAGTCCAAACTTGCATCACTATGTCTGCTCATTTTCTTTTAGTCCAGACTGGAAGTCGTTGCAATTAACTTTTATAGTTCAGAAGCAGGAATTGGGTCCAGAACACTTGGCAGGAAAAAAAACGTCTGCTTGAAAACCAAGACCTGCTCTCACCGACTGCTGAGGAGCTCTATACTCACATTACAGAAGAGAAACAGGCAAGAAAAGTGGTGGTGTGATGGTAATGCAAACTGCAGGTGGGAAACAGCACAGGAGATTTTGAAATACATTTAAAAAAAGATCTTCAGTGTGCAAAGCTGACGTGTTTCACATTATGTGAAAGCAAAGCTATGAGCAGTTTAGCGGGCAGACTCCCTTAGGAGCAGAAGCAGAGAAGAACAACGGTAAAATAAGCAGGTAAAGGTTAACATACTAGAGATGAGAAAGTGGAACTCGCTTGGCTTTGTGGATAAGAAACCAAAACCAACCACACTAGCACCTCTCTAGTCTCTGGTGCAGACAGGAAAGCAGATGCAGCAAACCTCAGTATCTCAGCAGCACCCATCTGACGTACGGAGAGGGCCTCACCACAGTGATATCCTGTCCTCTCTGGCACTGCTACTGAACCACAGCCTGCAGGTAGCCTCCACCAGAGTCACAAGCTGCTCAGGAAACCCTGGCCCTTCAACCTTCCCTTTGATGCACATCCAGACCTGAAGCCCCTTCCTGAACCTGCAGGAAAATCAGAGTGACCCTCCACAAATTTCAGCCAATTCACCACCAACTCAAGTGGAGTTACCTATGGCAGCAAAGATAGTGACAACGTCCTTTGCTCGCTCATTTGCCCACATGTTGCTTCTCCTACTTCCACCAGCCTCCACTGTCTCGGGGTCAGCTCTGTGGACTCAACTCTTTTTGTAGCAGACTGCTACTGCGGCAGCAAGCGCTGGTCTCGGGCAGCCAGGCCAAGGATGTTCACTAGATGGCAACAACCACCAAAGCAGAGAGACTCCGGAGTCCTGGATGGTCTCTGCCCAGATCGATTCTGGCAGGACAAGCTCAAGGCAGTATCAGGAATCCTGCATGGCCGTGGCAAACATGAAAGACTGTCTGAGGGGTGCCTGCATGCACCAAGGGAGTCCGTTTTACTATGTTGGCTTCTCCTCCAAAACACTGCTGTTGAAATCAGCATGTGCAGTAAGAAAATCAGAAGGTTGGATGAAGGTTTAAAGGACAAACAGGGACAATGCTGCAAACCTGAAGCGAGATCCTTGGTGGACAGAGCACCCTTCAGCTGGAGAGTCCACATGTACCACTGCTGTATCGGCTAGTATCCATTATTGCTAGAAGATCTGCAAAATCAGCCTAGATGCAAGAGGCAGGGATGCCTTACAGACTTCCCTCAATCTCCCCTGTTTAATCCAAACCTCTTAATTCACTCCTCCTCCCAATCCCTGCTGTGGAGTTCAATCTTTCTTGCTCTTGATAAAGTGTGAAACAAAAGGAGAAGTCTTGCAGACAGGGCACATACTGTAACAACCTCAGCCAAGATGTAGCAGTTTCAGAAGACAGACGACTTTCAAAAGTTGGATTTTCAAAACCACAGCAATAGAGGTGTGAGGATGAGAGGCAGAGAGAACACCCTTACACTCACATCTGCCTTCCACACTTTCCACATGCACAGAGACAATAAATCATTTCTGAGCATGCTGAAGATGAAGTCTAGACATAATTTGTAGTGTATGATAAAGAAAGCAGGGACTTGGATTCACTCCATGACTTATTCTCTACCATCCTGGCTCTTTTCTTTTGAGAGTAGGTTGGAACTCAGCCATCTGCTGCCAATCATTTACTGCTTTCTTGTCCTGACATTGAACAAGGCAGCATTTCTCTTATTTCAAATGAAAACACATGGCTGCTGGACAAAATGAGGCTGACCTAACACAAGAAAACTTTATTACAGAGCCTGAGATCTAACAAGGGAGAAACTCTCAGCTCCTCAGTTTCAAAGTTAGATTTCACCTCTAACACAAGATTCCCTTAAGAAGCTCCAAGAAATCAATAGTATTTCCCACCAAAGAAACTTGTGAAGGCCAAGGAATCAGTTCCACCTGTATCTGAAGTGCTCCTGTCTAACTCAGATTTGAACATCCCCGAGCTCAAGATCTGAAGCTGAGGGTCATCCCCTTGCCCAACTTCCACATGAACAGAAACAGCTTCTAAGCAAGCCTGTGAGATGTCTCTGCCTAGTTTTACAGATACTAAACAAGGGCGCTTTTTTTTTATTTTTGAAAAGGAAATTAGTGGAGGTGCCTATGGAGTCTGAGGTGGTAAAATCAACCAGCAGACAGCTGTCACACTACAGAATTAGTACAAGGACAGACAATGACCACCAATTGTTCTTTCAGATCTCCAGAAATTTGTCCCCAGAAAGAATAGAATAAGTAACATTAAGCTGAGGAAAAAAAGAGAGTCAAATCTTTATCTTCTATAGTTCTGACAGGGTGAATTACAGACACAGTGCAAGAAGAAAGTTTACGAAGGGAATGTGTGGCAGAAAGCAGAGCTCATACAATCACAGAATCAATTTCTAGCAAAAACTAAATCCCACTATAAGTTATCTTCTCTCCCTACTCTCTCCTGTTTCCTGAAGCCACTCAGGTTACTTCTTCACAGACATTATCTGATCCTGCTTCAAAACGCTCCAGTGATGATGTTTCTATTGATCTCCCTGCAAAGCTATCCCAAAGTCTAAAAGGCTCAAAACTGGACTCTTCCTCCCAGCCCACAACATCCAACCAAACACAGCCCTAACTCCTCCTCCCAAGTCCAAATGGCATTTGGCCCCCAGCCACCCTCAGAGATACGCAGGACTCTATATGCCCCAGGCTGTGTTTGAGAGTGCACAGTACCTTGTACCAGCAACCGCCCCGTCATTCTTCCCCAGGGGTTCATCCAGCTCCACACCACACCACTCTCCTTTGGCAAAATCTGTCTCTCCCACGTAGCGCACAACTCCTGTCTTCGTCCCGCCAACCTGTTGGAGATAAGATGTCGAGGGTTATAGACGGTAGCACTGGCACTGCCACAAGGTGACTGAAGCTGGGACAGTCATGGAAGGGGGGAAGACATCAGTATTTTTTGTTTCAGATCTAATGAAACCAGAACAGAGTTTTCATATCAAGTTGTCCTAGCACTAAAGTTGTCTCTCCAATAACTACAAGCAAGTTGACAAACTCCCAATTTTGGACCTGTCTGCCTGCCAAATGTCAGAACAAATATAATGAAAACATATTTCAAGGCGTCAACTAGTTGCACAAAGTTACTTGTGAGGCCAGGAAGGAATTTAAGCCCTCCAAGTGCAGCTTATACCTGCCTTCTGTAAAGAACCAAGATCTGCACTAATGGGGTTTCGGTCCTGTGCTCTTTTCAGCTGGCATTTCTGAGCAATACTGGGACAGGACATCAAAGGGACAAGCTGAGCCAGGAAGGCACTCATCCCTCTTGAGCTTGTCCCCACGCAGGGTTTGCTAGGATGTTGCAAACAACCCTTCCAGCAAACCTCTCAAAATAGAGGCATTTTGTGCAGAAACAACCCTCCACTTTCACCTACACATCCTACATCAATTCATAGTGCTAGGGTGCTGCACGGGAAGGGATCTCATCTCACTGCTAGGTTTCCACTAGCACACATTTTTTTTCCCCCTCTATGGAGAAATAAGAATAAATCACACCTTTTGCTCCCCTACTTCAAGCTTTCAGCATGCTGAGTAGACTCTAGAAGACTGTAAGTCAGGAACGTGTGAAGTTGTGTTTTGATCATTGCTCTGACAGCACACTTCACTGAGCAGCAGCTGCCTCTGCCTTTGCACTAGAAACTCCTACTTAGGTACTTGCACTGAGAAAAGAAAGATGGAAAAGTAGGACGTTGGTTCTAAAGGTTTGTACTTCAAGTAAATTAGTGTATGATTTAAACCTTTTTTTAGCCTATCTTTGCTAAAGCCTAGGTTCAAGGAAGAAAGTTTAAAAAATAAGTTTAAGTTTGCTGCTTTATCTTGAAGGACAGTTATTAATTTTCTTAATATTAAATTTTACATAAACAGGTATCAACAGAATAACATTCTCCTACAGAAAACAGTGATAGTTGAATGCAGAAATCTCCAGTTTTGTGTATTCCAGGGTACAGATGTTACAGATTTACTAATTCTGAATCCCTAAAAATTCTGAAATTTGCTTACGCAAAAGAGAAAGGGTTTTCCCAGCCTAAAAATAACTGCACCTGAATGGACTAGAGAACACAGTTCTGAAGTCTAGGTCCTACCTCAAGTCCTGGGAGGCTGCACTGCAAGCATGCAGCTTGAGTTAGTCTTCTGTAATTTCTCTTGCTAGGGATTCAAAGTGCTGCTTATGGAAAAACCTTTGTTGATGTTGTTTTCTTTGCAATAGGAAGGAGGAAAATATTTGCCAGCAGGAAAAGATAACAAAAGAGCTTTCTGGTCCTACACTGTGCCCAGGAGCAAAAACATGATTCGATTTCAGTATTAGGTACTTAGAAATTTAGATTTGAACAGTTGCAGTATAATTCTTTACCTATCATTCACAGTCAAACAGCAGTCCTCTTTTTGATTTATTTGAGGTTATACAGATTTAGTCTCTTAATACAATGATTTAATGCCATTCTAATACATTTCTTCAGCTGCAAGGTGAACTCAATATAAGTGTAATTCATCTTAATGTCATTGATAGGAACTTAGCATTGCTGGTAAGCTCCCTCAATTTTATTTTTGCTGAGTTTTAGTTACAGATATTGAGCCACATTTCCTTTACCAAGCCACGTGATCCCAATCCCACAGAGTCTCATGTAAACACCTTGAAAACTTGATGAGCTCCCTCCATCAGGGTGACTCTTACCATGCTATTCGAGGCATCTACTAGAGGGCCACAGTCCTCTGTCCGCACATAAACAAGACCGCTCAGTTACATCCCCATAGATATTGCTTATTTTGAGAAAGCTGTTTCCAAACAGGAGAGAAAATAACTAGCCCTATTGACTTAATACACACATTATCTAATTATGCCAATACTCAAACTGCACATTAAGAGAGCAGGTCACGTTCCCACCCGAAAGCCGTACATCAGTGAAGATGCTAAGCGCAGATCAGGTCTAACACCCCCCCAAATGGCAACATGATTCTCTGCTTCCAAAGCAACGTATTTCATTTTCTCTTTTCTCTTTCAAGCATTAACTATTCTGCCATCTTTTCTATAAAACACACCCTCATCATACGGCATTATCTTCTCCCCCAAGCCAGAAGGGACACATCTGCTTACTGACAGCCTGGGCTCCCCGCATCCTGACAGGGCTGGCAGTACAGTCAGAAGTCAAGATCAGGCTGTCCCACTCCTATGCCAGCACTCGACCCTCTTGTTGAGCTTCCCATCTTTTGGCAGGCACACAGAAACTCTTATGGATGGAGAGTCTAGAAAATTCATCCAACTCAGACATGCAGATTTATTCAGCCCTGATAATCTCCTAATGCTGCTAAAATAAATAATGTGTTTTGGAAAAAGCCAGCTGGCAGGTCGTATTGATGCACAAACCAGCCTCATCAAAACAGAAGCATTTGTTTCTATCAAACCTTTCAATAAATTAGAGGTATTACCTTGGAAAGAGGACAAAAGGTAGCTTGTGAAAGCCAGGAAGGGCAGCAATTGTGTAGCATAACTCATGGTAGCTCACAGCCAGCCCTTCTGCCCATGCCTAGCTTTGATACCACGCTCCACAATCTGGGCATGAACGACAGCGGATGGCTCCTACTACACTAACATGACCATCACTATCACGCTAGGAACCAGAGCATTTCCATCCCATGAACATCTCAGCCCGCCATTAGCATCAGTGCCACCCTGAGTCATGAGGTTCTCTATGGAAAACTTGTCTGCATCTCTCAGCCCGGCATATTAATCAGTCACAATCACCCTTCAACTTGCCAAGTGTCCGGAGTATAAGCAAAGACTAAGTGGATAAGCCTAAAGCAGGAGACAGCACAGAGTTAACAAGGCTGCCCGCGAGCTCAGCTATACCCCAGCAGCTCAGACACACCACAGCTTTTATAGTTGACAAGTTTCATTCAAAAATGAACAGAACCAAGTTTCATTCCAAAGCCTTTAATAGTTACCTTACCAAAACTATTACTGAAATTATTTGTGTCCCAGAGAATGGGATTTTATCAAATTTAAAGTGTTATTGGTTTTAGATATAGTTGGTTTTGTGGGAAAAAAAAAAACAACAAACCCAAAAAGCCGATAAAACCAGCTTTCCCTTCAAGCTCCAAAAAACGGAAACAACATTGACATAACGATAGAGGATTTTTTGTTTTGGAGGGTATTTTGACCAGCATCAACTTTCCAAGTTTCTCTGCTTCAAGTAAAACCACTTACGATTAACTTTAAACCAGCTCATGGTGGGTCACCCTTTCCAGCTGGATTCAAGCAGCCTCAGAGCCACACGCCTCTGATGTCTTGGAAAGCTCAGCTCCAGACTGAAGTTCTCTGCCTCAGCTCCGATACCTTTTTCGTGCCTTTGACTAAAGATCATCTTCCTGACTTGGCCTTTCCTCAACAAATGGTCTCCAATACTCTCAACAGACAGTCTTGGGCTTGATCTTCATAACAAAATGAAGCCAGGTCTGTGTCCTAACTGGTGAGTCAGAAAAGCAACGTGCACTCATAGAAGGAGGACATCCACACGCTTTCCCTGCTAACTGTAGTATCACTGACATCACGTTTTACTATGGTTTTCTCATCAAAATGACAAAATTGGATCCAGACCAGTATCCCAAGGCTGAAAAGACAATGACGCTAATCCTTCCAGACACTGTCTTCATCAGAGCTGCTAATATATCATTTAAACAATTTACCAAATTAGCACCAGGCCATATCTCAACCTGGCTGCTGCAAGTCAGACTCCCTCCAGCCTGCATTTGCTCTTTTCCCCTTAGGTCCTCCCTGCTCACCCCACAGCAGTTTCTTGTTCTCTGCAAGAACCTCGTAAGAGTCGTCCTCAACCCAGGCCTGTGGGCAACACCCTGCTTGCGATACACTCCCATACTTGCAACACGCTCCAGTACTGCCGTATTGGGTTTGCGTGGCAAGGTTTTGGTAGCGGGGAGGCTACAGGTGCAGCTTCTGTGAGAAGCTGCCCAAAGCTTCCCCCATGTCCGATGGAGCCAACACCAGCAGCTCCAAGATGGTCCCACCGCTGGCCAAGGGATAACAGAGTTAAGAAAGGGGAAAAACAACTGCTCAAGGGCAACTGCAGCTGAGAGAGAGGAGTGAGAACCTGTGG